AAAAAACAAAAACAAAACCCCCACAACCTATACCTCATACCTTATTTTTAAAAATCTACTTTAAATGGATCATAGACCTAAAGATAAAACAGGAAATGATACAACTTTTAGGAGAAAATGTAAGAAAAAAAATCTGCATGGCCTAGGTAGGAGTTTTTAGGTATGACCTCCAAAGCACTGTTCATAAAAGAAAAAACTGATAAGCTGTACTCTATCAAAATTAAAAACTTCTGCTCTGCAAAAAACAGTGCTCAGAGAATGAAAAGACAAGCCACAGATGGGGAGAAAACGCGGTCAAAAAATATTTTGATAAAGGACTTGCGTCTCAAAACATTTATTTGAGAAATAAACCACAATTTATTTAAGAAAAGAAACCACTTGATTTTAAAAGTGGGCAAAAGATATATATGTGTGAAAATATGTTCAACATCATTAGTCATCAAGGAAATGGAAATTAAACTGCAGCAAGATACCACTACACACTTACTAAAATGACTTTAAAAATACTAGCAAGTGTGGACAAGGATGAGGAGCAATACATTGTTGATGGATATGCAAAGTGATAGAACCACTCGGGAAAGCAATTCAGCAGTCTCTTACAAATTTACCTAATATATAATGCGGCAATCCCATTCACAGGTGTTTATCCAAGAGAAATGAAAAAATTATTTTCACACAAAAACCTCTATGTAAATATGGATAGCAGCTTTATTAATGATCACCAAAAACTGGAAACAACCCAAATGTCCTTCAACCAGGGAATGAATAAGCAAACTGTGATGTATCCATAGAGTGGAATGTTAGTCAGCTACAAAGGTGAGTCATTATTATTTTTTAAACAACTACAAAAACCCACTTATTTCTCACTGTTCTGGAGGCTGGGAAATCCAAGATCAAGATGCTAGCAGATCAGTGTCTGGTGAGGACCCTCTGCCTAGTTTTCTGTTGGCTGCCCTGCTGTATCCTCACATGGAAGGGAGGGTGGGGGAGATCTTGTGTCTCTTTCTCTTTTTCTAAGAGCATTAATCCCACTCTAAAGGCCCCACCCTCAGGATTTAGTCTAACACTAATCACCTCTCAACAGTCCCACCTCAAAACACCATTATGTTGGGGATTAGGGCATCAATATATGAAATCTTGGGGGAGATACTCAGTCCATAGAACATTCTTTCTGCTCCATTATGTTTTCTTAAGGTTTGTCAGTGAGAGAATGAGGGAGATGTTGGTAGCCTGTTAGGGAAGCAGTGTCAAGTCAACGTGTTTTTTAGGATGGTAGAGACTTTGAGTCTAGTTTTAGGCCTATGAGAAGGAGCCAAGTGGAGGGTGAAGGTGGGTAAGTGATGGAGTAAGGTCCCTGAGGAGGCAGTGGGAATTAGGGTATGCCTGTGTCTCTATAGGACTAAGAAATTCTGGGACGCTTGGGTGGCTTAGTTGGTTAAGCATCTGCCTCCGGCTCAGGTCATGATCCCAGAGTCCTGGGATCGAGACCCTCATCAGGCTCCCTGATCAGCGGGGAACCTGCTTCTCCCCTTCCCACTCCCCCTGCTTGTGCTCTCTCTCTTGCTCTCTCTCTCTGCAAAAAAAAAAAAAAAAAAAAAAATGTTAGGAATAAGCAATTCTATGTACTAGTAATTATTGATTCAATTTGCTCTTTCCTGGGGCCTTCTTGTGACATCATTATCAATCTTTCAGTAACCTTATTAATTTAAAGAAGTTGGATGCTTTAGGTAATCTCCAAGACTATGTTTTATCTTTATAGCTTTTTCTATAAAGTCTACCATCTCAGAACTGAAAAGAATTTTCTGTTAAAAAATGAATTATTGATTCATGTTAACAGCATGGATGAATCTTAAATGCATCTGGTCACTGAAAGAGTTTAGACCCAAAAGCACTATGACTCCATTAGTATGACATTTTAGAACAGCAAAATTATAGGTATGGAAAACAAATCAGTGGTTTCCAGTGGCCAGGAGGTGAGGGGCGGGGTTGACTGTAAAGGGAAAGTTTGATGGCATTTTGAAAGTGAAGAAACTTGTGTAAACAACTATGGTGGGAGAATAAGTCTCTAATAATTTGTCAAAAGCCATAGAACTGTACACCACAAAAAGTGAATTTTACTGTATGTAGATTAAATAAAATCAATCAGGATATAGGCAGAACACAAGATGCATGCAGACTGGCCCACATGAATCTAAATGTATTACAAATAAATCAAATAGCCACGCTGAAGCAGGTGGAGAACAAACGGAGCTGATGTAAGTCACTTTGGAGAACAGTGTTTTGACTGGATACTGTAAGGCTAAAGCAAAAAGAACAGTGCTAAAGCAATATACTCTAGTTTTTTTGTTTTTAAAGAATTATTTATTTATTTTAGAGAGAGAGTAAGCAATAGGGTGAGAGAGTGGAGGGCAAGAAGGAGAGGGAGAGAGTGAGAACCCTCAAGCAGAACCCCCCACCCCTGGGGCTCAACCCTAGGACCCCAAGATCATGTGCTTCCAGGTCTGGAAGAAAGCAGATGCCTTTTTTATTTTTTTGGCCTACAAATAGAATATGTATATAAATAGTCAAGAGAGTGAGAAATAGCCTCTGTCAGTAGAAGATTTCAAAATTTATTTATTCATTAATTCACTCACTTAACAAGGAGGACTTAACCAAGCCTCTGTTGTGTACCAGGCACTGTGCTTGGTGTGGAAAATAATAAGCTCAAAATAAGAACAAAACTCTTGTCTTCAAGTTACTTACAGACTAATTAAGGGGCAATAAGACACACTGACAATTATAATGCAGTGCAGTAAGTACTTTGGGAGGTAATAGAATGGCATCACTGAAGAGGTTAAATTTCCTTTGGGTTCACCAGACAGACAAGAGAAAGGGCATGCCTGGCAGAGGATGCAGAGCCTGCAGGCACAGACATGCTGGTATTTTATTTTATTATGTTATGTTAATCACCATACATTACATAATTAGTTTTTGATGTAGTGTTTCATGATTCATTATTTGCGCATAACACTCAGTGCTCCATTCAGTATGTGCCCTCTTTAATACCCATCACCAGGCTAACCCATCCCCCCACCCCCCACAAAGGGAGAACTATTAAATGTTTTTAAGCAAGGGACTGAAATGATTGGATTTACAGTTGACTTGAACAACATGGGTTTGAATTGCGGGGGTCCACTTATATGTGGATTTTTTAAAAAATAAATACAATACTGTAAATGTATTTTCTCTTCCTTATGATTTTCTTAATATTTTTTCTCTAGCATAGTTTATTGTAAAAACAGAAAATATGTTTAATCAACTCTACATTATCAGTGAGGCTTCAACAGTAGAGTATTAAGGTTTCTGGGTGTCAAAAGTTATACATGAATTTTTGAATGCAGGGGGTGTCAGTGCCTTTAACCACCGTGTTGTTGAAGGGTCATCTGTACTTTTTAAGATCATTTTAGTAGCTGTATGAAGGTTGCATTGGGAAGGGTGATCAGAAAACCAATTAGAAGCCTACTGTGGTATTGTAGTGAGAGAGGAGATGGTTTTCATGGAATCTTGAAATTTCCATGACTAAAAAGACTTTATCAATGGGTCAAGGAGTATAAAAACCATTTATCAATGGAAAATTAAGAGCGAAATCAGAAAAAAATATCAGTATGTCTATGCACTTAAAAAATAAAAATAGACCTTTTATGTAATGAATTCTCAGGTATCCAGGACTGATTCTCTAGCAGATGAATTAGTTTATTGAAGAATTCAGATTCTTTTTTCTAACTTTGTAATTGCTTGATTTAAGTTCTTATATGGTTTGCCAGATGGTCGAAAGAGAAAAGGATATGAAAAACAGTAAATTTAATCAATTTGGCTCCCTGACTGCTGCTTAAAATGGAGATTCAGGAAGGTGAAATGCTCATTACAGTGAAGTGTGTGGGTATTTGTGGAGTGCATACACATCTCCACAGATAAATCAGAGATCATTGAAAGAGAAAGTGTACATACTGGGAGAATAATTGGCTCTTCGTGTTGACGCACTAAAGTACTCTCCCACTTTTCCTATTAAAAGCTTTATTTGGTCCCTTCACCTGAATAATGTAGGCAGCACTCATTTCTCTTTCACCAGATGGGCTTACAGTTTAATGAATACATCTTACAGCTGTGGTTTGATAGACACTCCATCTCGTGTGGAGGATTGGCTAGCAGAACAATCAGAACAGCCAGATCATTTCAGTCAGTCACTTGCTTAGCAAATGAGGACTCCTCTGGAATCTGACTCCATTCATCTGAGGGCTAAAGTTATTCTCAGCTGTGCCCCCGAGGAAAGGAGAAAAACGCATTAATTGCCCTGATGGTGGTTAACAGGTGTTCTCTTCAGCTACCTAAATGTAAAGCCGTTTTGTCTTTTCACTGTAGAAGGCTTCTCGTCTTTAAGTGTGAATTCCCACTCTTAGAGCAAAACAACTCTGAAACGACTGCACTATTATTTCAATGCTTTCTTGTTTCTTAGCTATTTACAGTCATATTTAGAAATACCTATTCACTTCCCTGTCGAGAAGGCAAGAAATATATTATGCTGATGAGACAAAAGACAAGAGAGCAGAAAACATGTGTTTTACTTTCCGCCTGGCCATCATGGACGAGGATTAAGAGGCTCTTGGCTTTTCCTTCAAAGAAAAGAATGTTTGAACTTTGTATTTTTACCATTTCTTATGCTCATTAATGAAATCTGTTATTTTCCTATCGTTCAGAAGTTACCCGATACTTTAGTCCTCCTAAAACTAAAAACATTTTCTAATCATGGACTCTCTCCCGTTGCGGGGTATGTTTGCCAAATTACCCAAACGCCGCACGTTCACCCAGGCGACACCTGTACCTGCAAAGCCGACAGGACAATCCGGGAGGCGAGCGAGAGGAAACTACATATCCCGCCATGCCTCGCTCATGAGCACAATGGAGCCCTGTCGTCATCCGGGTCACGGGGCTGCGCGTTCCGTGCGCGCCGCCGGATTCCGGCCTGGGTGCCGCCCCGGGCGGAGGGCCCTCCTGGGCCGGGAAAACTGCAATTCCCGGCATGCGCTGCCACGGATGCGCCTGCGTACAGGAGCTACCGCGCCGGAGCGGGTTGGTTTAAAGCGCTGTGTTAGTTCCATGGAAACCGGCCTGCCTGCTGAGGGATAGAGCTACCGGTGGACAGATGGAGTGTGAGGTAAGGCTACCGGCCGTGGACGGGGTGCCGGTCCTGCGGGGGGAGTTGGCGACTCAGCCAAGACCATCATGATCTCCTCCTGCCGCCCTCTCATTCTCTTGGCAGTGTTTAGTCTCCGCCCCCCCGGCCCCAGGATCCTAATTTATGGCGCTTCTGCGCTGGATGCAGGTGAAAACCGTTTAGGAGCTAAGTTTGCGTTGGACTGGCTGCAGCTGAGGGACGGAGGATAGCCACCAGGGAGGGCCTTCAGATAAGCCCCAATACCACCTTTTCTTTATATGTTAGGTTGGAGGTTACAGGTTCTTAGGAAAGCCATTTCGACGTGTTTTTTGTTTAATTTTTGTCACCTGTTATATTCCCCGATCTGCTTTTTAGAATGCATTCGTTCCTTGAAGTTTTCCCAGTACCTGACACTTGTGCTAGAACAGAATAGATGTTCGTTAAATTTTTGTTGAGTTTTCCGTTTGTTTGCCAGCCACAGTGCCCCATTCACTGTGCTAGGCTCTGAAGATGGGGAGAGATCAATCTGACCGTACTTCGGAGAACTCAGTCTAGCTCGAACACCCACACACTCCTCCACTTGTTCATAGTGGAGCACCTAGGGACGCTCAGTTCCCTGGATCCTTTCTGTTCTCCGTTAGACAGTCTTGTGGCTTTACAAGTGGCATGTGCGTTGACAACTCCAAAATTTATATCGCCAGCCCACACTTCTTCCCTGAACTCCGAATTAACAAGTTCAGTCTTGTTGTGGCCATCTTTTCTGTTTTACATTTAACATTTCCAAAACAACTCAATCTTTCAGCTAAAACCAGTTCTGACAGGCTTCCATTGTCTCAATTAATGGCAACACCATCCTTCCAATTATATCCTTGCTCTCATATTTCATATCTAATCCATCAGCAAAACCAATCTTTAAAATATATCTGGAGTCTGACCACTTCTTACTATTCTCTTGCTATCACCCCGGTCCTAGCCAATGGCACCTCCTGCCTGGGTTATTGTAGCGGCTTCCCAACTGGTCTTTCTACCTCTATGGTTGTCCTACCCTCCTGGGAGGGTATCCAGAGTGATCCAGTTAAAAGGTAAGTTACATCACAGCACTCCTCCACTCTACACAGTCCAATGGTTCTGAGAGTCACTGAGAGTAAAAGCCAAAACTTTAAGACCTAATGTGATCTGGTCCCTTTATTACCTTCTGACCTCACCTTCTATAGTTCTCTCCTTCACTTACTCCTCTCCAGCCAGACTGACCTCCTTACAGTTTGTAAGGATCTTTGTACTCACTGATCTTTGTACTCACTGTTTACTCTTTCTGGACTTTTCAGTCACCTGACTTTTACTAGTATATTACTTAAGACATTGGTCTTATTCATGCCATCCTTTCAATGAGGTAACCTACTTAGGAGCTCCATAGACATACTCTCCCTAAATACAGAAACAGAATTGTATTAATTTGATAATGATACGTTTATGAAAGTAGCTATGAATGCACTTTCTTAAAACTAAAAGTTTATATATTAGTATTTTTATTATTGTTACGATCAAGCATCAGGCCTTGGGTTCAAGACTACATTCAATGCTATTTGCATCTTTTCAAAAACTGCAAAGCACACATAAGTCAAGCCATAGTCTCTTTGCTGCAATATTAGCAATTAGAGCTAGATTCTTTTCTTGTAAGATTGTATTTCTTAGACTCCGAGCTTTTGAGCTATGCCTTCTGAGGATCTGCCAAGTGGCCAGTGGACTGTGTGTGGGGCCTGCCAGCTGAGGGAGGACAGGCAAGGGTATACTGCAGTGAAAGTGAGAATCTTTCCTGACTCAGCAGATTTACTGGATCCAGGTAGTTACCTCACTCTTCCTTTAACAGGCTCCCAGGTATTCCGGGACTCTCCCTGGTGGATATTAAGGCTGTCTTAGTCTTGCTATTCATCTACCATTGATTGCTTCCTCGAGCTCTCCTGACCTTGACATGTTTTCTTTTTTTTTTCCCCATTGCAGGGGAGGTTTGTGGAGGAATGGTTTTCAGTTAATCCTAGGACCTGTTTTTAATCTCCAAAGGGTAGATTGGCTTGTTTAGTGGTTTGTTTTTTTTTTTTTTTTTGGCTTGTTTAGTTTTCCAGTCAACTTCTTGGATGACTTGCACATGTTCATCAGTGATTCACTAAGAGGATATTTCAAGAACACCGCCATGTTCACTTAGAAGCTTTATCCCTTGCCCAACATCAGTCTGTCCCAAGCATCTCACTCTTCCCTTTCTTAGGGTGAATTTTCTTTCCGGAAACCTGAATGGCTCCAGGGTAGATCAGGTTCAGGTGGGCATGAGTGATGAGGGGAATCAAATTCTTACTCAAACATATATAAACTTTCTCTTAAAAAAAAAATTAATTTGGTTTTAAATTTTGTTTTTATGGCTGAAAGTGCACATGATACTGTAAAGTAAGTGTGAGCATTTTATACATATCATAGGTACTTTAGGGAAATATCAGCAAAACTGTGACATTTCAACAATACATGAAAAAATTTTATTTTATTTATTTATTTTTTAAGATTTTATTTATTATTTGATAGAGACACAGCGAGAGAGGGAACACAAACAGGGGGAGTGGGAGAGGGAGAAGTAGGCTTCCCGCTGAGCAGGGAGCCCCGATGCCGGCCTGGATTCCAGGACCCTGGGATCTCGACCTGAGCCGAAGGCAGATGCTTAACGACTGAGCTACCCAGGCACCCCTACATGAAAAAATTTTAGATGGGAATCTGTATCCCATTCAAAATACGTGGTAAACTTGTATTCCATTTTCTGTATTTTTTCCCTAAAATGGACTAATATTTGTATTAGTATTTTATGCTTGGCTTTTGATATAAGTTAATAGAGGCCATCCTTTGTATTATAACTAGCTGCCTCAGCCTAACAAGTTACCAGGGAAATTGTCCTCCCTCACATCTCCGGTAGTACTTGTCCTTTCTTTTACCACCCCTTCTACTTGTTTCTCCACCAACTATTGCCTGGGGCGACTGTGTTTCAGGAATGTTTTTGCTGCAAGGAACAGAAAAACATGACTAAGCTTATTTTTCTCAAATAAGCAGAGGTTGGATGTTGCTAGTTTTGGGCAAGAAAAAAAAAAAAACCTCAGGTTAATCTGAACTTCTCTGGCCTTTTCCTTGTATTTCTCAGATGCTGGTGATCCCTAGCTCTCTGTGTCTAAAAGTGAGGCACTGCATGGCTGACTAAAAGAGAGCTCTCAGAGCTCTGGGCCTCATACAGGGAAGTAAAGGACCGGCACCATCATTTCAGTTTTTTCTATCAGAAAAACAAAAGCCTTCTCAGAAGCTCCTTGCAAATTTTTTGCCTAAAGTCTCATTGGCCAGAATGTGTCACATGGCTGTGCCAGCTGCAAGGGAGGCTGGGGACATGAACTCTTCAGCTTCTTTTATAGAGAAAACAAAGGAGTCAACTCTGTCTACCCCAAATCTTATTAAACACTTTACATTTCCTCCCCACTTCAAGCCTGGTTTATTTCTAGGTGGGCAGTAACAAGACAGCAGGTGATAGAAAATGGAATGGAGGGTAAATCCATGTGGTGTTTCTCTGTTGTTACCCTTCCATTTTCTCCCCACCCACACTCCCCAACCCTAACCCTGGTCTTATGGAGGCTCTTCCTTCTATTACCTAAGGAACACTATCCTGGTACATGTGGTAACATGAGCAGGAGTCTCCAAATCTGGCTTTTTTCCAGAAACATGGATGAAACTTACTTCAACTCTTTGTAGATCCAAAGACTTTGTTACTGTCTATACCGTTGTCTTTCTCTTCAGGAAATTTTGAAAGCATGGATGGAAATTAATAATAGAGAGCTTCTTTGCCCCCATGTCCTTAAGCTGATCATTAACAGAAAATCTTTTAACAAATTCAGATTACATGTGTCAGAAATGCTTTCTGTTTCATAGAAGAGAATAAAAGAGAGAAATCCTGGTCAGAAGCACTAAAATAAGAGTAAAAAGAAAATTTGTACCCTTTGACCTACATCAGTCCATTTCCCCTTCCCTCCACCTCATTCTATTCTCTGTTTCTATGAAATCAACCTTTTTTTTTTAATTCCACATATAAATGATATCAAACAATATTTTTCTGCTCTGTCTGGTTCATCTCACATAGCATAATGCCCTCTAGATTCATCAATGTCAGTGGCAGGATTTTCTTTTTATGGCTGAATAATATTTTATTATATATATTATATATATAATATATATATAAAAATCACTTCTTTGTCCATTCATCTGGTGAATGACATTTAGGTTGTTTCTCTATATTGGCTATGGTGAATAATGCTGCACTGAACATGAGTGAACAGGTACTTCTTTAAAATCCTGTCTTTGATTCCTTTGTATATATACAAAGGAGTGGGATTGCTGGATCATATGGTAGTTATATTTTTAATTTTTTGAGGAACTTCCATACTGTTTTCCATAAATGGCTGTACCATTTTATATTCCCACCAACAGTGTATGAGGGTTCACTTATCTCCACATCTTCACCAACATTTGCTATCTTCTTGATAATAGCTATCCTAACAGGTGTGAGGTGATATTTCATTGTGGTTTTGATTTGCGTTTCCCTGGTGATTAGTGATTTGAGCACCTTTTAATTTATCTATTGGCCATCTCTTTGTTGTCTTTGGAGAAAATGTCTGTTAAGATCCTCTGCTCATTTTTTTTAGTTTCTTTGCATTTTTGCTATTGAGTTATATGAGTTCTTTATATATTTTGGACATTAACTGCTTATCAAATCTGTGGTATGCGATTATTTACTATGATTCTGTAGGTTACCTTTTCAAATAAGTTCTGAGGATCTAATGTACAGCATGGTAGCATAGTAATATGTTGTATAGTTGAAAGTTGTGAGAGTAGATCACACACACAACACACACAAAGTTAACTATGTTATCTATGTGGGGTGATGAATGTGTTAATTATCTTGATCTTGGTAACCATTCTACAGTGTATATGTATATCAAATCATCACATTGTACACTTTAAATAAAATTATATTCAATTATTCCTCAGTAAAGTTAAAAGACTAGACCATTCTCTGGGACCTGTTGTGGGGAGATAAAAGGTGACTGGAGAGCTATTTCAAGATGAAGAAATGTTCGGGGCACCTGGGTGGCTTAGTCGTTAAGCATCTGCCTTCGGCTCAGATCGTGGTCCCAGGGTCCTGGGATCGAGCCCTGCATCAGGCTCCCTGCTTGGTGGGAAGCCTGCTTCTCCCTCTCCCACTCCCCCTACTTGTGTTCCCTCTCTCGCTGTGTCTCTCTCTGTCAAATAAATAAATAAATCTTTTTAAAAAAAAAAAAAAAGTGAAGCAATGTTCTTGATATTGGCAAGAAACTCAGTCTTTTCACTGTCCCTCATCATGCTGCTACCCCCTTAAATCCTGCCACCAGTTTTCCCACTTCTTTAATTCTTGCCTTGAGTGATGGAGACTATCAATTACTTGGACCTGAGGTAGTCACCACTTGCACTGCCTGGGAGGTGAGGGGAAGAGAGATCTCTGATTACACAGCAAGAGGGGGAGAAAAGATGTGTTCCTAATATCCAAAGTGGAATCTTTGTGAACGTTTCCATGGGAGCACTGTTGCTAGTAATGGTTAAGGTTTACAGTTGGTTGGTATAGAAATGTCTATACAAAAGGTTGGAGTTGCAGGAAAATGTCCTTAAAGTTTCTTTCCCCAATGACCTTGTCATTGAACTTTGGGCCCATGATTCATCTATATGTTGGGACTGCTTCTTCTATGCTAATTCTGCCTAATTCTGTCACTAATATTTCAAAATATTAGGAAAGAAGAGAAGTCTGGAAATTTTATGTCAATAGCTATAGAAGAGTCTTTGCTAGGCTATGAAGTTAAGTTTGCAAATTATTTTTTAAAATCACTGCTTCAATGTAGTTGGTAAATTTATCTTACAACAAGTGCTCAGAAATCTAAGTATAGAATGTTTTTCTGAAAGGTTGGTTAGAGTATGTTAAAATGGTGATGGCTAGTAATGAAAGAAGTAATAATTCCCTTAGCCAAGTCATAGATCCTAGTTATGTGTCTATACTACCAGATAGATAGACTAGATTATGATGAAATAACAAACTACTCAACAATCTCAGTGGCTTATAACAACGTAAGTTTATTGCCCACTCACACTGGATGTCATGGACAGGCCATAGCTCTGCTTCATGTCTTCTTCACTGTGGAATCTTGGCACACTAAGCCGGCCCTATCTGGGTTGTTGCTCATCTCATGGAGGGGAGAAAGAAGGAGATGATGAATGACAAGTTGGCTCTTAAAGTTCCCACCCACATTAAACTGACCAAAGCAAGACACATGGCCATTCCTGACCTCAACAGAACAGGGATGTGTAATTCTCCCACAAGAAGGGACAGTGACTATTTTGAACCATAATAGAACCTACTATACCAATATTGTGACTTTAATCTCAGGTGCATATGGAAACTACAGTGTCCAGACCGGTCCTCTCTCCAACCCACATCAATGCTACAGCTTCTGAAACATTCACGGTACTTCAGGAAAGGATGAGAATAGTTGAGGAACAGACCAGTTCTCTGAGGGATGACCTAATAATGTTGGACTTTGGTGAAAAAAGGTAATAAATGGAAAATGAACTAGATCTTTGTAGGTTGAAGAATTCTTAGGAGTCATAGTACAGATGGTTCAGCAGATGAAATACAGGTATTTATAAAAGAATTGAAAAAAAAGTTTCCATTTGCACATTAATTAGAAAATATTTGTGAGATAGAGTTGTCATCTTGTAATAGAGCTACTACCACTATTCCCCTGAACAGATACTTATTTCAAATGAGGAGGTGGGTCGGGATGGGGTAACAGGATGATAGGCATTAAGGAGAGTCCGTGATACAATGAGCACTGGGTGTTATAGGCAACTGATTAATCCCTGAACTCTACCTCTGAAAATAATAATACACTATATGTTAATTTATTGAATTCAAATAAAATAAAATTTTAAAAATGTGCTAATTAGGTGCACAAACTGTTCATCTTCAAAACTTGATTGAAAACAAATATGGAATTTTTGTATAATTAGAAAAAATGTAGTTCATATTTTTAAAATCAAAAATAGACTTTGATATTAGTTAAGGTGAACATCTAAACTTGATTCATGCCATTGATATTGTCTTCATTTTCTTTCCCCAGATTTATTGTAAATTAAAAGAAAGGTTTTAAATCTTTAAAAAAATTTCCTAATTTAAAATGAGGTACTCAAAAAAAAAAAAAAAAATCCCACCTTTTTTTCCCCTTGGCTAAAGAAGATATTGCCACTAAAAGTTGGATGATTAATGGCCTGAGGAATCTGGGTACTTAAGCAGCCAATATCAAATTTGCTGGTGTGATTTTCTTTAAGATTACAATATATTTCTTTAGTGTCTCTCATGAAAACCTAAAATTATTATAGTTGGTATTATAGCACCCACAGAATGAATAATTCTTCAGTAGTTAGAGATTAAATTTGTATAGATGCTGAGTATGTGAGAATAAAGTAGGAATGTTTATTATGACCTTGTTTAAAATTTTTCTAAAAATATGTGAATATATTTCCTCCATGCTAACTTTAATTTTTTATAATTATAGATTTATTATTTAACATGTTTTATGTACCACATAAAACTTTACAAAAAATTCACATTAAAAGATACAACCGTTATAAAGTCAGTGGTCTTTATCCAACTGACATTAGTCTCATCCTCTTTACCTAATGGTGCTTTCTATATTTAAATTTGGAGAACTAACAGATGCTTAACTAAGGAATCTAATTTTTATTCTTGGTAGAAATGACCTGATGATTGGGATTACCATAGTACACATTGCATTGCATAATATTGTTAAATTGGGATCTTTGTCCAGAGGCCAACTGGAGACTCCGAAATGTTTAGAAGAACCTGTGAGCCAGAATAGCATTAGTCCCATCCAGAACGAAATGTTTTGTTCAGGAAAACCAGATATTCTATGGAAGAACTGTGAGTTTCTGGTAAATCGAATGTGCCGTCTGGAAAGCCTCATCCAGTCCTTGAAGATGAACATCTTTCGTCTGCAAACTGAAAAGGATTTGAATCCACAGAAAACAGGTACAGAGAGAAGAGAATCATCAGAAATTTGGTCCTGTATGGGTGCTTAATGAGTTTATGATTCTTTTCCTTTCCTGACCTTCTTTCAACTGCTCCATGACCCTCCTGTGCTGTTGGGTAGCTTTTCTGAAGGATCGACTGAATGCAATACAGGAGGAGCATTCCAAGGACTTGAAGCTGTTGCATCTTGAAGTGATGAATTTGCGCCAGCAACTAAGAGATGTAAAAGAGGAAGAAGACAAGGCACAAGAAGAAGTGCAAAGGTTGACTGCCACCCTGGAGATTGCCTCAGAGACAAAGGTTTGAATCCAGATTTCTGAAATACAGATTCACTGTTATCTGTTAACTGGAGGAGGCAACAGACCCATAAAATTGACTTTTAAAATTAGGTGATATGATGTAAGGATTCTTGACATTTCAAAGTTACCTACATTGATAACCTAAACTATTGTGTACTATCAGTAATGTGGTGTTTATAGAGCCCTTACCCTGATATGCATGAGAGTGGGAGTCCAAGGGTATAAGGCAGAGTCTCTGCTCTTCCAAGAGCTTATATGCTAGCTGGGAGAACAAGGAATAGCATGAAAAACTAAATAGAGAAAAAATAAGGACATAGGAAGTGTTAAAGAACAGTGTAGGACAGTAAGTGAATATTGACGTGTGTTTTGTGTTCAGGTGGGTTTGAGAGGGTGAGTATGCCCTATCTACCTAGAGTAGATTAGCGTAGGCTTCAAGGAAGAGGTAAGTCATGAGCTGAATTTTGTAGAAGGCAAAGTAGAGAGGTGAGGACATTTCAAGGAGTACACACAGAGGCAGGAAAGAATATAGAGTAGGATAATAAACTGACAATTTTGTTCTCCCTTCAAGGGCCAGGCAGTATAATAGATGGTCAACATGTTATTTTGTTAAATTTTTGAAAAACCTCATGACAGGATGATACTGTCCCCATTTTAGTAATAAGAGCATTGGGCCCCAGAGAGAACTCATTTCTCTAAGATGACACTTCCCTATTTTCTTCCTGTTACCCAGCTTTGAACTTAGATTTTTCCACTGATAAAGTTAGAGGAAATGCATAAACTAGCCTGAGAGGAGTGAGGATTGGGGGGGGGGAATAAATTGGACATTAGTGAGGGATCACATTATAGAGGATTTCAAAATCAAGAATAATCAGTAGTTGGGCTTGATACTATGGGGGTGATTATCATTTTTGATAAGGAAGTGACATAACAAAAATAAGAAAACTAATCTGGCAGTGGTGTAGAGTTTTGGGAAACCAATTAGGAGTCCATTGCATGATTTGAGCCACAAGCCTTATTAGATCTGACTTAGGGTGGCATTTTGAAAAGAAATGTTTTATGAAGAAAGATATGTTAGAATATGATACTGGACAGGAGCTGAGTATAGGAAAGAAGGCAAAGATGACTGAGGTTTTACATCTTGGATTGTGGTGCCATTAATAGTGATATAAAAGAGAATAAATAGTGAAAGCTGTATTTTTGATCCTCAGCTCCTAAGCACGGATAATATTTGAGGCAAGAAGAGATTGAATACTTAAACAAACAAACAAACAAAAGAATATACTTTGTAAGAAAAAGTTCCGTCAATTACCAGGTTCTCTCATTATTGAATTTTACATAAAAGTGAATGTGTTTGGGGTCCCTTTGTGGCTCAGTCAAGTGTCCGACTCTTGGTTTCAGCTCAGGTCATGATCTCATGGGTTGTGAGATTGAGCCCTGCCTGGGGTGGGGGGGTGGTTTGCTTGAAGATTCTCTCCCTCTGCCCCTCCACGAACTTGTGCATGCATTCTCTCTCTCTCTCCTTTTTTCCTTTTTTTCCTTTTTTTAATACAAATTCAATTAATCAACCTATAGTGTATTATTAGTTTCAGAGGTAGAGTTCAGATTCATCAGTTGTATATAACACCCAGTGCATCCCCCTACCCATCTCCCCTCCAGCAACCCTTAGTTTGTTTCCTATAGCTAAGAGTCTCTTATGGTTTGTCTCCCTCTCTGATTTCATCTTACTTTATTTTTCCCTCCCTTCCCCTACATTCATCTGTTTTGTTTCTTAAATTCCGCATATGAGTGAGATCATATGATGATTGTCTTTCTCTGACTTATTTCGCTTAGCATAATACCCTCTAGTTCCATCCTCTTCATTGCATGTGGCAAGATTTCACTTTTTTGAAGGCTGTGTAATATTACATTGTATGTATATGTGTGTGTGTGTGTGTATATATATAGCACATCTTTTTTTTTTTTTTAAGATTTTATTTATTTATTTGACAGACACAGTGAGAGAGAGAACACAGCAGGGGGAGTGGGAGAGGGAGAAGCAGGCTTCCAGCAGAGCAGGGAGCCCGATGCGGGGCTCGATCCCAGGACCCTGGTATCATGACCTGAGCTGAAGGCAGAAACTTAATGACTGAGCCACCCAGGCGCCCCTATAGCACATCTTCTTTATCCATTCATCTGTTGATGGACATCTGGGCTCTTTCCATAGTTTGGCTATTGTGGACATTGTTGCTATAAACATTGGGGTGCAGGTGCCCCTTTGGATCACTACATTTGTATCTTTGGCGTAAATACCTAGTAGTGCTGGCTCTGGTGTTAACATTATGAGGAATCTTCATACTGTTATCCACAGTGGCTGCACCAGTTTGCATTCCCACCAACAGTGTAAGAAGGTTCCCATCTGGCAAGGTTCTCCACATCCTTGCCAACATTTGTTGTTTCCTGACTTGTTAATTTTAGCCATTCTGACTGGTGTGAGATGGTATCTCATTATGGTTTTGATTTGTATTTCCCTGATGCCAGGTGATGTTGATCTTTTCGTGTGTCTGTTGGCCATTTGTTTGTCTTTGGAAAAATGTTCATGTTTTCTGCCCATTTCTGAGTGGATTATTTGATTTTTGCGTGTTTTACAAATATCTTCTCCCATTCTGTCAGTTGTCTTTTGGTTTTGTTGACTGTTTTCTTTGGTGTGCAAAAGCTTTTTATCTTGATGAAGTCCCAATAGTTCATTAAAATAAATCTTTAAAAAAAATAAAAATAAAAGGGAAAATAATAGAAGTCATGAATCAAAGTGATAAAATAACTTTCTTTTTAAATATCTCGTTGTAATAATTATTTTAGACTCACAATAAGAAGTATTTATAACTATATTCGGAATAGCATATATAGGTTGCTAGAAAAAAGTCTAGATTTGAACTGATGTGCCTATAGACAGTTTCTTTCTTCATTTCAGATTATTTAGAACCTTTTCCCCTTGTACTTTTAGAAGAATGCAGCCATTATTGAAGAGGAATTGAAGACCACAAAACGCAAAATGAACCTGAAAATTCAGGAGGTAAGATAAAAAAAAGGTTCTGGAGGGTGGAGGGGGCATTGGAATTGCTGAGGGGAAGTCAAGAAGGTAGAAAGAATGAAAAACTTTGAAGAAAAAATATGTTACTGTGGAGTAGGAAGATTTTAAAAATATGCCACGTGAAATTCAAGTGAAAGTGGCTACCCTTATTTGACATTAAGAGTTTCTTTTGCCTCAGTATGGCCCTACAACCAGAAATAAAGTAAGTGCTTTGTGAGCCAGGAAGGAAATTAGTTACCATGAAATTCATATGCTAGAGCTAAGTGAACACATGCATCCAAAGACCTTTTAAACTAAAGTTGTGTTTAAAACAAAAAGCTTTTAATAAGCCTGCTCATCTAATTTTACCTTGAAACCTCCATTTCAGCCTAAGTTTTAGTAGATAACAGATTGGGATTTGTGAAGTAGGTGGCTGCTAAAAGTTGCTGGACTAAAAATTGGCAGCTGAAAACAGTGGAAGAGTCAGGAGAATTAGTAATCCCACACACCCTGACCTAAAAACCTCAGTATTCCCTGACAGAATAATCATTGATGTTTATCCAAATCAAAAGGATCCAAATTATATTTAAAATACCAAGAAGTAGATATACTTTTAAAGAAAATTCTTATGCAAAATTACTTTTTTAAGTTACGATTTTTAGTGCATGAGGTGTTAAGTATAGCTATCTGGAAAATTCTCTCATGTACTTATTTGCCAGTAGCTACTGATAAAAGCATGATTTTTCATAGAATGTATTACATTTCGTGTATTTTTTTTAGTTTTTAGATATTTTAGTAGACTCTTTTTTTTAGAGAAGTTTTGCATTTATAGAAAAATTGCACAGAAAACAGTTCTCATAAACCTGCTCTCCCCATCCCTCCAGTTTCCCCTATTATATTAGTGTGGTACGTTTGTTAAATTTGACAAACTAGTCTTGTTCATAAATAAATTGATAAATCATTACTAGCTAAAGTCCACAGTTTATATTAAGATTCACCCTTTGTTCATTACATTATCTCACAGAATAGTATCACTGCCCTAAAAATGCTCTGTGCTCCATATACCCATCCCTCCCACCTCCTCTTCCTGAGCCCCTGGCAACCACTGATCTTTTCACTGTCTGTAGTTTTGTTATAGTTGGAATGATTCAGTGTGTGGTTGTTTTGGACTGGCTTCTTTCACTTAGCATATACATTTAACGTACCTCCAAGCCTTGTCATGGTATGGTAACTCATTTTATTGCTAAACAATATTCCAGTTGTATGGATGTACCACAGTTCGTTTATCCATTCATCTATTGAAGAACATCTTGGTTGCTTCTGAGTTTTGGCAATTGTGAATAAAGCTGCTATAAACATTCATATGCAGGTTTTTGTGTGGACATGTTATCTACTCATTTGGATAAATACCTAGAGCACAATTGCTGGATCATCTGGTAAGCTTTTGTTTACCTTTGTAAGAAAGTGCCAACCTGTCTTAAAAAATGGCTGTACCATTTTCCATTCATACCAACAATGAGTTCCTTTTGCTCCACATTCTCATCACCATGGTGTCTTGTCAGTTTTTTGAATTTTTGCCATTCTATTATGTGTGTAGTGGTATCTTGTTTTAATTATAATTACCTAATGATATATGATATTGAATATCTTTTTATATGCTTATTTGCCATCTGTATATCTCATTTGGTGAGGTGTCTGTTAGATCTTATGCTTATTTTGTAATTGGGTTGTTTGTTTTCTTATGTTGAGTTTTAAGAGTTCTTTGTATATTTTGGATGCTAGTCCTTAATCAAATATGTGTTTTGCAATTTTTTTCTCCATTCTGTAGCTTGTTTGCAGAGCAGAAGCTTTTAATTTTGATGAAGTCCAACTTACTAATTTTTTCTTTCAGGAACTGTACTTTTGGTGTCATAAGTCATCACCAAACCCAACACACCAAGATTTTTCTCCTGTGTTATTTTTAGAAGCCTTATAGTTTTGCATTTTAAATTTAAATAAATGATACATTTCGAATTAATGACGTGAGGTCTGTATCTAGATTCTTTGTGTGTGTGTGTGTGTGTGTGTGTATGTCTAGTTGTTTCAGCACCATTTGTTTAAAACACTATCAGTGATTACCATTTATCATTACTCTTTATTAGGAAAGTCTTAATTCTGAGTGCTGTGATAAAATCTTGAATTTTTTATTGAACCCTGTCAAGGATCCTTAGAAGGACTGTCCTTGTCAAAATGCATTTTGGTATTCAAGCAGGAAGGATGTATTAGTTTGCTAGGGCTGCAGTAACAAAGTACCACAGACTAGATGGCTTAAACAACAGAAATTTCTTATATTTATGGAGATTTGAAGTCCAAGATCAAGATGTCAGCAGGTTTTTTTCTCCTGAGGCTTCTCTACTTGACTTGCAGATGGCTGCCTTCACATGGTCCTCACGTGGTCTTTGCTTTGTGTGTTGCACATCCCTGGTATCTTCGTGTATCCCCGTTTCCTTCTCTTATAAGGACACCATTCAGGTTGGGTTAGGACCCACCCTAACAGCATCCTTACAGTTTATCACCTCTTTAAAGGCCCTATCTCCAAATACAGTCATATTTTGAGATACTGGGGTTAGAGCTTCAGCATAATATTTTTGGGGAATACAATTCAGTCCATATCAGGGGGCTGTATAAAGACAGAATAAATGTGGTATACATCTTCCTAAGAGGTAAGAAATATATGTAGAATCTGGCTCTGATAGACATAAAACTGGTTGCTTTTAATAATACTTCAGAATTAATACCTCAATAGTATAATTATCAAATAAAGATCCCTCTATAAAGGACTTAAATAGTATCTCGAGTACATTATACTATATAATTTGATCCAGAGCTTAGAAAAATATAGTAAGCTACAAAGTAATTATAATCTGATGGGGCGCCTGGGTGGCTCAGTCGTTAAGCGTCTGCCTCCGGCTCAGGTCATGATCCCAGGGTCCTGGGATCGAGCCCCACATTGGGCTCCCTGCTCAGCGGGAAGCCTGCTTCTCCCTCTCCCATTCCCCCTGCTTGTGTTCCCTCTCTCACTGTGTCCCTCTCTGTCAAATAAATAAATAAAATCTTTTAAAAAAAATTATAATCTGATACTATAGTATTAGATTATTAATACAGCCAAAAGTAAAAACTATGGTCATCCTTAATAAGATTGTAATACTTATAATGATGAGGAAGGATGAGGAAGGAATTTCTAAACTTGAAATGAAGGAATAGAATTATACAAGGTTCAATAGATTTGAACACATAAGAATTAAAAATCCTACATGTAAAGAAAAGGGGGGCAAAAAGCAAAACTAGTAAAACCTAGCAAAACTAGATAGAGTTAACAATCTTTCCTTTTAAAAAACTTAAAATTGACTAAAAACAAAAAACAAAAACCCCAAAAAAGTGGTCAACTAACATTTCAAAAAATATATAATAGCTCAGAAAATATACAGAGCTAATAACCATATGAGAAAATGTTTAATCTCACTAGTAACCAAAGAAATGAAAAGCTGTCAAGATGTTATTTTTAATTTATTAGATTAGCAAAGATTTAAGAAAACAACAATACATAGTACTGATGGGATTTATTCTAATACTACTGATAGGCTAAAATTGGAAGGAAAATTATATACCAAATTTATCAAAAGTCTAAACATTATTAAACCTTTAACCTAATGATTCCTCTTGTAGGAATCTATCCTAAGGAAATAGAAATGCAAAGAAAGATTTATTCACAGGCATGTTCTGCAGAACAATATTTAGAATAGTGAAAAACTGGAAAAACCTAAATGTTTGTTATTAGGAGTATGATTAAGAATATTACAGAACATTTGCAAAATGGGCTGTTATGTAAGTTTCATGCCAACACACTTTCCATGTCTTTCAACTTTTTAAAAAGTTTTTAAACATAAATCATCCATAGAGAAAACACATGCAAAACATATGTACAATTAGGAAAAGAGCTATAAAGTGTACTCTTAGGTCATCTTCACTGGGGCTTAAAAAGCAGAATTTCCTTCTACTTAACATCGTTTCATAAAAGGAATAGCATTCTGCAATTCCCATGTAAGTTTGAAAGGATCTCTTTACCTCATGAGAAAAGAGATTCTTTTTTATATCTTTATCTAACTCATCATCATTTATTGAGAGAAACAAGGTTAGTATACCCCAATTCTTGAGTGGTAGTTTTATCCACTACTTAACAGTTACTTCATTGTTTCTTTAGACCTTTAAATTCCAAAACAATTGGAACAGCTTTCAAGGGTATGTTTATAATCCTATGGGATAAAAAATATTTTAAAAAGGGAGATGAAGTAATCAAATATGGAGAAAAAGGAGTTAAAAGTGAAAGTCAGAAAATTCAGAAAGTATGTATATACTAAGGTGTGATGTTCGTGTTTTTCAACCTTCTTTTTGACAAGGCTACTGAGACATACATTTTATACTGTAACACCATACATAAATAATATACACAAACATTTCATGAAGCCTTACTTACCCTTCTTTATTAGATGCTCTATGCTCTGATATTTTTTTTTCCCCTTTTGAAAGTGCTGCTTGCAACTTACTAATACATCTTGACCCACAATTTGGAAAAAAGACTTACACAATGGGAAGACAAGGACAACAGATATGACTCTGACTACTTGTTTCTTAGTAGTTTATCCCTTAGGGAGAAACACAAGCTTGTTTCTGAGTAGTCATTAATGAATGAAAAATGTTTGGGAGTGAGATGGCATGTCTGGTAAACTTTTCATGGTGAGTTTGATCTTTTCCAAACTGCTGTGATGTTCCCTTGGTCTTGCCTAACTGCAATTTGTTCTGTAGCTAAGGAGACAGCTATCTCAGGAGAAGCACCTGAAGGAATCTCTTGAGAAATCTGCATCAACCATGCTGTTCAAAATACAAGAAATGGAATCAACAGTGGAGGTGGAACGGAAACAGGTAGATTTTTTTCTTCTTATGTCAAGGAAGTGAAACCAAAAAGAAAGCTGATATTTTACCTGTAAGTCTTTAGTTTTGCTAACTTTCTCTAGATTTATTAAATTTTTGCCCGTAGTATTATTTGAAATACCTACATGTAACTTAGACTACTCAGTTCTAAGTATTCAAGGCAATTAGTAGTTCCAAATTCTAATACCTATATTTGGATTACATAATCTTTATTTTAACCAATGGCTGTCCTTCATAATAAAATTATAAAAAAGCTTTTACTTAAGGAATTTGTTTTGTTTTTTTAAAATATTTTATTTATTTATTTGACAAAGACAGCAAGAGAGGAAACACAAGCAGAGGGAGTGGGAGAGGGAGAAGCAGGTTTCCCACCAAGTGGGGAGCCCGATGCGGGGCTCAATCCCAGGGTCATGACCTGAGCCAAACTGCCTCTGCCACCCAGGCGCCCCGCCCCCCCACTTTTTTATTTTTTAAAGATTTTTTAAATTTATACAACTGCTGTTTTTTAACCTCTTCGCATTTTTTTTTTAAGATCTTATTTATTAGAAAGAGAGCACAACAAGCAGGGGTAGCAGCAAAGGGAGAAGGAGAAGCAGGCTCCCCACTGAGCAGGGAGCCTGATGCGGGACTCGATCCCAGGACCCTGGGATCATGACCTGAGCCAAAGGCAGCCACTTAACCTACTGAGCCACCCAGGCGCCCCTACTTATGGAATTTGTAAATGATCCTTTATTGCTATAACTTGCACTACCAATATAGTGGCTACTAGCCACATATGGCTATTTAAATTTAAATTAGTTAAAATTAAATAAAATTAAAAATTCAATTTCTCACCCACTCTGGCCACGCTTCAGGTGCTCGGCAGTTACTTGTGCCTGATGCATGTTGTGTTCGAGAGTGTACAGAAAGTTCTGTCGGACAGCCCTACTGTAAAACACTGCACCCTACTGAAATCTTTAACATAGAAACTCCCCTTCTCCCTCCAGTGATGTTAAGATCAGAAAATCTGCCTCACACGTGTGCTCGAAGGTAGTTTGGTAGAAATCTTTACTTTACAGAAAGGAGTTTTTCTTACACATTTCAGGTGCAGATCTTGCAGCAAAACTGCATTGCCCTACGCAGGTCTATGCAGACCACACAGGAATTACTGGTGCAGGAACAACAGAAAAAAGGAGATTTGGAGACTTCTATCTCACAGCTCAAGTCTGACCTAAGTATGAAAATAGATGCTAGAAATTACATTGCTGTTAGTTTTTTTGAGATTTCATGCAAAAACTCTTAAGATCTGAAATTCTTGAAGAGGCCGTTGTTACTGAGATTTACCACAGGACGAAATGTAAAAAATTGTTGATTGCCTTTTTGTCTGTGGCACTGGAAAAAAGAAAGGTAATAAAATAGAATTTGATCCTCTTAACTGTAAACTATTCTGTATTTAAATTTTTTCTCAGGTTTATTTAAGTGTTCGTGGACTTGGGAACATTGGATTTCTAGAAATCTAGATTGAATATTGGATAATAGAACATTAATAAGGAAATAAGTCCTTTAATAGTTGCTAACCTGATTCTAACCATTTATCATTTTTCAGGTTGCCATTCTATTGACCTGTATTTGTAGCAATGGGTGGTTGTATGTTACCTTAGAGCTTAATGTCCTCATTTTACAGATGAGTAAACAGAGTTCTTATAGGTGATTGAGTTAGGAAATGGGTAAGTCTAGCCGTGATCCCATGTTGTTCAGTCACGGTTCTTCCAACCCATCAGCCTTGTCGTATTGACTGTTGTTAATACATAATTGTAAAGCAGTTTCAGCCAGTATCAAGTATAGGGATCACAGTGCAGTGCTTCGCATGAGTAACACTTCCTGGTTTACATAGAGCTTTCACATAAACGATCTCATGTAACACGCTAAACTATCCATACTTCCCAAAGTTAAAGCGATGCCTGAGCCTGTATCTTCTACCTCCAGTGTTCCTGCCAGTGTGCCTTCTATGCTCTCTGGCTGTAGTGAGAGCAGGGAATACCAAAAGGGAAATGAAAATTATAAAAAGCATGGAACAAAGAGTAATCTGTTCAGTGTTTTGTTCTGCTTTTAACAGAAAGTACTGTTTTTCCTTATAGTTGTTGAGTAGTGAATTATCCATGGAGTTCTCACTGATAATGCCCCAAGATAATTTTCTATCTTCCTGTGATTGTGTGGCTACAAAAAATACATATTATATTTTATGGGGCTGCCACATTATCTCATTTGACCTTACAACCTTGTGAGCAAGATAAGAAAATATACCCCATTCTATAGAAGAATAAAAAGGTCTGTATCCAAGGACCTATGGCAAATAGGATAGCTGGGAGTAAAACACAGATCTTTCTACTATAGTAGTAATTTTTTTCAATGTCACTTTCTGATTGGATTAATGCTTTAGTTTTGAATTTTATAAAGAATATATGGAAGACCATTTAAAAGATGAAAATTACACAACATTTATTAAAACTAACACGAGGAAAAGGAAGCTGTCTGAATACCAACTATCTGCTTCATATTGAGTAAAAGACTCTTTACATGCATGCAATTTGATTACTTTAAGGTACAGTAGTTAGGCTAACTAGGTTAATAAAAGAAATGCCTCTAGATATTTGCTTTAATGAATTTAAAAATGTAATTATTAGCAATAAACTTTTATACACACACACTAAGGTGATGAGATTGTCCTCCCACGTAAGATAAACACTCCCCTTTCATTCTTACTTTGATTACTGGAATTTTTAGAATAGATCATATAATGATCTTTTTATCCTTCACATATTTTAAATTAGCATTTACTGTATTTGAAATGAGTCTTGGACTTATATATTCAAAAAGTATAGTTTTTCTGACTATATCCTACATAAAATGTGAGTTTCTATGTGTTTTGTAATTTTCTGGCTTTAGAATATTTAAGTGAAACAAAACTAATGAATCTTTATGCATTTTGCATGAAGCCAAAACGTTACTGTCAGAGAAGTTTACTTTGGGCTGTTGGTATACGATGCCAAACTGTTCCCCTGTTTCTCTCTTTGGTTTTATTTTCACTGTATATACTCTCTGGGTGGTTTCAAATCTTTTTTTTTCCCACATAAAATCATCTTCCTGAGCTCCAGATGGTATCTTACTGCCAACTAAACATCTATATATGGATGCCTTACAGATACCTCAAAACACACGGTGAATACTTAAATATTGCAATCATTCTTACTCATTCTGTCCCCCGAACCTGCTCCTTGTCCTGTGTTTCCTATTTAGTTGAAGAGTCTGCCACCCACTCCATTGCTTAAATCTGGACACTGGATACTCTCCTTGACTCATCTATTGCCTTTACCCCAGCAGCCAGCCGCCAGCCAAGTCCTGACAGTTCTCCCTTCTTGTTATTTCCGGAGCGTGTTTTCCCTTTGCATCTTCATTGTCCTTCCCTTAGAGCCAGCTTTCATTGTTTTTTGTTTTTTGTTTTTTGTTTTTATTAAAGATTTTATTTATTTATTTGAGAGTGAGAGAGAGAGAGCACAAGAGGGAGGAGCGGGAGAGGGAGAAGCAGACCCCCTGCCAAGCAGGGAGCCCGATGCGGGACTCGATCCCGGGACTCCAGGATCATGACCTGAGCCGAAGGCAGTCGCTTAACCAACTGAGCCACCCAGGCGCCCAGCTTTCATTGTTTTATACTTTGGTTACTGCACAGCTACTAAACTGATATCCTCTTCCTTATTGAGCCTCTGTTAGAGTGTTCTCTCTAACAAAAAGCTTTTGATCAGGTGCCTCTCCACTTTAAAATCCCTCAGATGCATCAACCTCTATGCCTGGAGTAAAATATGACCTCATTGACAATTGCACGTGACTGTGGACTATTTTCTTGATAATTTCATGACTTAATTTCCAGTCTATAAACATATGGTAGAAATATTTGCATTCTCCTTATTTACACAACATACAGACTGGGGAAAAAAAGCAAGCTGCTCCAGGAGATGATACTGTGTGATTTCAATGTCGCTGTAGTAAGTTATTATTACCATAGTTATGTGGACTCTTTGTTTTTAGTTTCTAGAGATGAGCTCATTTCCAAGTTGGTTGAAGAAAATACGGTGAGTTTTGAGGTTGTAAAGTTCAGAGATGTTCTTTCCTCTCTCACTAAGTAGTATTTCCTCACTTGTGTTGGTTTACAATTGTTCTGGTTCTCCTGAAGTCTTTATTAGAAAAAAGTTGCAGTGCAAATGAGTTGTATATTCAGACCTGTTGTCAACTGGGTATTAGGAAATCATTTCACGCAGGTTATTGCGGTTTGATAAAAAGATGAATTAGCAAAAATTATGAGACTAATTTGCATTTTATCTTTATTGCAAAATAATTGTTATGAAAAAGTTTTTTATGAAATATAAGAAATATTAACTACTTTTTGGTAGTGATGGTTGCACAACAATGTGAATATACTTAATGCCACTGAAATTAACACAAATATTCTTAAGTAAACTGTACATGTAAAAATGATTAAAATGGGAAATTTTATGTTATTTATATTTTACCACAGTAAAAAATGAAAAAAAGAACTATTACCACATTTATATCTTAATACATTTCTAAATCAACCTTAATGTGTAGATCCTGTTTGGAATAATTTTTCTGGGTTCTATCTCATCCTGTAGTAGGTGATGTTTACGTTAAGCCTTGAGATGCTTCTCCTGGAAAAATAGAAGAGAGGTCCTCTCTCCATAGGGAGAGGACTTGCACTTTGCCATTCCCCATTTCAATAACTACCTGTTAGGGAAAGCCTAACCCACAACTCACATCCCTGTCACCTGTTTGTTTGTTTGTTTTGTTTTTAGAGCAAAGGTGTTTTCTTTTGCTCCACACCCAGGTATTCCTTGATGAAAACATGTTCACGTACTTAAAACTTTAAAAGATCTTTGAATGTGTTTCTTTGAAATCACAAATGATCTTAACTGCTTAGGGAAAATAATGTGTTTATAATATAAACTAACAAATATTCGTCTTAGCAGAACTTTCTTGACTTGAGGATGCTAGTTAAATATTTACAGCATGGTTTTAGGCAAATTCTTTCCAGTTTGAAATTCCATATGAGAACATTTTTAATAAACAATTTTATAATTTATTTAAAAAGAGAAGTTTGAGAGTTGAAGATATCAAGATTTTTAAAAATTCTTTACAAGACACTTATCTATATATATCATTAGTACTAGAGCACTGGGTGTTATATGCAACTAACGAATCTTTGAACACAACATCAAAAACTAATTATGTACTATATGTTGACTAATTGAACATAATAAAAAAAAAAGAAGAAAAAAAGAACTTGAACTCATAGTAGCCAAAATACAGAACAGGTATTTTGATAGAGATATTCGTAATAGCTCTTACATGTAAAAAAAGGAGAGAACTTATTATTGTTTTTGCTCTTATAGAATGTGCAGAGGTCTTTCAACAAGGAACATGAAGAAAATGGATTTTTGAGGTCTGAAATAGTATCCCTTCATGAAACATCAGAAAAAGCACAGGTAGATCTTACCATTTCTATAGTTTTTAGATGTTACTTTATTTTGTTTAATTAAGGAACCAAGAACAAATTAATCCTGATTATATTAATTCATACCATCATGATAGGTATAATTGGCATATAATATTATATTTCAGGTATACAACATAATGAGTCAGTATTTGTATACATTGCAAAGTGATCACAATAATTCTAGTTAACATCCATCACTATATATAGTTAAAATTTTTTTTTTCTTGTGACGAGTACTTTTAAGATCCACTCTCTTAACAACTTTCAAATATGCAATACAGTGTTATTAACTATAGTCATCATGCTGTACAGTATATCCCCATGACTCATTCATTTTCTAACGAGAAGTTTATACCTTTTGACCCCTGTCACCACTTTCTCCCATCCCTTATACCTCCTCCCTCTGGCACCCACCTGTGTGAACTTGGTATTTTGTTTTTTGTTTTTTTAAGATTCCACATAGTGAGATTATATGGTGTTTTCTTCCTCTGGTTGACATATTTCATTTAGTATGCATTCAAGGTCCATCCATGTTGTTGCAAATGGCAAAAGTAAATTCTTTTTTGTGGCCGAATAATATCTGTATCTATCTATATACACACACATACCACATTTTCTTTATCCGTTCATCTATCGATGGACACTTAGGTCATTTCCCTATCTTGTCTATTGTAAATAATGCTGCAGTGAATGTAGGGTTGCAGTTGTCTTTTTGAATTAGTATTTTTGTTTTCTTCAGAAGAATACCCTGAAGTGGAATTGCTGGGTCATATGGTGGTTTTAGTTTTAACTTTTTGAGAAACCTCAGTACTGTTTTCCACAGTGGCTGTATCAATTTACATTCCCTTCAACAGTGCCCAAGGATTCCTTTTTCTCCACATCCTCTCCAATACTCGTTATTTCTTGTCTTTTTGGTAATCACCATTCTCATAGGTGTGAGGTGATATCTCATTGTGATTTTGATTTGCATTTGCCTGATGATTAGTGATGTTGAACATCTTTTCATGTACCTGTTGGCCATCTGTATGTCTTCTTTGAAAAATGTCTGTTCAGCTCTTTGGCCCATTTTTTAATCAGATTTTTTTAAAGCTACTGAGTTGTATAGGTTCTTTATATATTTTGGATATTAATCTCTTATTAGACATATGATATTGATGTATGATTGCCAATATTTTCTCCCATTCAGTAGATTGCTTTCTCATTTTGTTGATGGAAGTTTCCTTTGCTGTGCAGAAGCTTTTTAGTTTGATATAGTCCCACTGGTTTATTTTTGCTTTTGGTGTGAGACCAAGAAAATTACCTATGTTTTTTCCTAGAAGTTTTATGGTTTCAGGTCTTATGTTCAAGTCTTTGATCCATTTTGAATTAATTTTTATGTATGGTACAAGACAGTGGTCTAGTTTCATTCTTTTGCATGTGCCTGTACAGTTTTTCCAACACCATTTATTGATGAAATTGTCCTTTCCCCATCACAAAAAGCACAGGTAAATCTTCCCATTTTTGTGTTTACATGTTACATAATTTTATTCAATTAAAAAACCAAGAACGAAGATTGATTCTAATTGTATAAATTCATACCATTGCCATCACCCAAATTTTTTATTTTCATAAAATCTATTTCATCTATGAACCATTATCACATTAACTACATTTCCCATTTCACCAAATCTCCTATGACACATAAGTATATGAGATACACTGCTAAATCATGCACTAATTTACATTTTGTCTTTGTTTGCTTTATAATTTACTCGTTAAATATATAACTTTAATCTACACCTATGAACTAAGCAGTTCAGTGCCACTGGCTATGCTTACACTTTCTTTGTATCTTTTATAACAAACAGCACAGTAGGAACATAATAAGTGCTTGCCAGATTTTAGAGTTATGTGTAAATATTTCCTGTGGGATGGTGGTTGCCAAATTTAGCTGATGTTATTTGTGTGTGTGTGTGTGTGTGTGTGTATGCAGGCAAACAAGTTATTTCTCATAGGGTCAGTGAAATGGTATTAATCACTTAAAAGAACTTTTTGTTAGTACAATTTGATTACTTCAGTGTTGGGATCATAATGTTGCTGTGCTCTCTTTATGATAAAGAAAATAGAAAATAAATGTGTGGGGCGCCTGGGTGGCTCAGTCGTTAAGCGTCTGCCTTCGGCTCAGGTCATGATCTCAGGGTCCTGGGATCGAGCCCCACATCAGGCTCCCTGCTCCTCAGGAAGCCTGCTTCTCCCTTTCCTACTCCCCCTGCTTGTGTTCGTTCCCTCTCTCGCTATGTCTCTCTCTCTGTCAAATAAATAAATAAAACCTAAAAAAAAAAAGAAAAAAAAGAAATGTGTTATTTTATAAAATAATAATGAAAATTACTACTCTTGCTATGGTAGTAGTAATTAACCTTTACCAAACCCATTCTATGTTCCAGGCATAATTGTAAGCACCTTATGTTACTAACAAATTGTAATGCTTGTAATAGCACTACTATAGAAACTTATTATTCTCATTTTAATGATAAGGAAGTTGATATACAGAGAAGTTCAATAACATAGGTAATAAATGGCAGAGTTAGAATTTGAGCTTAGGCATTCTGGCTCCAAAGAAAATTATTCTTTTCAAGGATCAGGAGTTCATCTCTGTCTTAACTCTAGGTATTCCTTGGTGAATAGTTTGTACATCTGGTTATAATTTTAAAATGCTCTGAATGTGTTCCTTACTTCTTTACTATACTACCACTTATGCTTCCCAGATAGTTTTTCATTTCTTTACTTTCTTGTTATCATTTTTTGAGTGTTTTTTTTTTTAATTGATCCTATAGAGTTATTTATCCCCATCCTTGAAGAACTTGTTCATTATAAGATCTGGGGCGCCTGGGTGGCTCAGTCGTTAAGCGTCTGCCTTCAGCTTGGGTCATGATTCCAGGGTGCTGGGATCGAGCCCCACCATCGGGCTCCCTGCTCAGTGGGGAGCCTGCTTCTCCCTCTCCCACTCCCCCTGCTTGTGCTCTCTCTCTCTCGCTGTCTCTCTCTGTCAAATAAATAAAATCTTTAAAAAACAATAATAAAATAAAAGATAAGATCCTTGGGGTGCCTGGGTGGCTCATTCTGTTGAGTGTCTGATTCTTGATCTTAGCTCAGGTCTTGATCTCAGGGTCATGAGTTCAAGCCCTCTATTGGGCTTAAACCTAAAAAAAAAAAAAAAAATCCTTGACAAATACACTTTGCAAAAATAACTGTTAAATAAGATAAATGTTTTCCTCAGGAATAAAAATTTCAAATATCAAAAAGACAACAGAATTATCTGATAAATTTGTTGCACAAAAGACTTTTGTTTTGGATGATCTGTCTTGTGAAAAGGTACAATTACCTATATTTTGCTTTTATGGATACTGTAATTGGTGGTAAAAGAGCTTAGACAGTTTGTATTATTAGCTAAACAATTATGAATGCTCATCTAATTTTAGGAATGAATTTCTGTAATATTGGCTAGGCATCTACATTGTAAAGTCCATTCCATATATATCTCGCTCTGTCTCACCAGTGTTCAAAATTGTGAACAGGAGATCAGTAAACTGTTGAATGCTTCAGTTGCTCCACCAGATGAACATTTTGATTTAGAATTATGTGGGGTGTTGACTCCAAATATTTGAAGGTATTACCTAATGAAATATCAGTTGGAGATAAGTTAAATAAATTAGGTTCACATACAGAGTGAAATACTATACCATCATTAAAAATATGGCAAGTAAAAATATTTACTGGAGAGATCTGTGACTTGCTGTACATATCATCTTAGGTTTCGAATGACCAGCTGACTAGAAAGTGTTCAGAGCTGAACAGCATGCTTGAGACTGTTAGTATGGAAAATGCCAGAATTATTGCCAACCATCAAGCCATTCTGCAGGTATTCATTTAATACTAGTCAATTTCTGATAGAATCACAAGAAGACTCCTTGGCTAAGAAATTAGGAAATGTGTGACCAAGTGGGTAAATAAAATATTTTAACAGTTCCAAGAAATTTACTGAATTATTTTTTCATTAGTGGTTTTCAATTTTCATCAGGGGGCCATTTAGCCTTATACTCAGTCCTTTCTTAATGGTTTCTTCTCAAATACCATTACTTTAAGAAAAGTAATTACCTGTTCCAAATACCATTTCCTCAAACACCTGTGGTTTCCCATTTTGCTTATGCCATTTCCTCTACTGAGAATGGTCTTTGTTTCATCTTCAGCTATTTGAAATTCTGTTTATTCTTTAAGACTCAAATTCATCAGGAAGCTTGCTCACTCAAACCAGAGGGAATGAGTTTTCTCTGTTAACTCCTACTCCTAGGACATTAAACAGACTCTCATAATAATAGTTCTCACTTTTTGGGGAGCATACTTACTATATACCATGCATTATACTAATGATTTTACATATATTACCTCCTTTAATTCTAGCAGCCAGTATGTAAAGGGATATTGATTATCCTCATCTTATAAATAAGGAAAATGAGGTTTAGAGAAGTATATCAACTTGCCTGAAGTCACATACCTCGTAAGGGGTAGAGCTGGATTGAAACCAAGGTCTGACTGCAGAGTCAGTGCTTTCAATTGTTACATTATGCTGCCTCTCTATTTTGCATTCTGTAGCAGTTTATAAGCATGGCTCATTTCCTGGATAACATTGTGAGCTTCCTAGAACTGGGGCATCATCTTATACATCTTTGCTATTTCCCATAGTGCTTCCCACTGCACATAACAGATAATAAATATTTTTCATTAATTCAACAAGCACTTAGTGTTTACTCTGCGCAGGTATGATGCTAGGTCTAGATGGGATTATAGTGGTAAACAAGACAAAATCCCTACTTTCATGGATTAACAATTTAGTAGAATAATGTGACATGTAATTCACACTGTCACAAACATTTTTTAACTTTGAAATGTTACACAAATGGGATTTTATTTTCCAAAGGTGTGAAGGTTTGCTTTGCAATCAAGTATTAAGATAAAAGTGTTTTAAAATATGTTTACAGAAGTAATTGTTAATATCTACTATATTTGCAAAAGCTTTATAAATTGTAGGTAGAAGGGATGTGTCTAAAAATGTTATGTTTGAAAAAAATAAAATAAATAAAATAAAATAAAAATGTTATGTTTGAGAAGTCCAAAATGGTGAGCCAGAGGAAATAAATTATACAAAACAATTACAGGCATACGTTGTTTTATTGTGCTTTGCAGATAATTGCATTTTTTACAACTTGAAGGTTTGTGGTAGTCCTGCATCTAGTAGGTCTGTTGGTGCCATTTGTTAACAGCATTTGCTCATTTTGTGTCTCTTTGTCACATTTTGGTACTTCTCACGGCATTTCAAGCTTTTTCATCATTATTTTTGTTCTGGTGATCTGTGATCAGTGATCTTTGATGTATTATTGTAATTGTTTTGAGGCACGACAAATCATGCCCATTTAAGATGGTAAACTTAAAAAATGTTGTGTGTGTTCTGGCTGCTTTGACTGGCTTTTCCCCATACCTCTCCCTCTTCTTAGACCTCCTATTTCCTGAGACCCAACAATATTGAAATTAGGCCAGTTAATAACCCCTACAATGGTCTCTAAGTGTTCACATGAAAGGAAGTGTTTCACATCTCTTATTATAAATCAAAAACTAGAAATGATTAAGCTTAGTGAAGAAGGCATGTCAAAAGCCAAGATAGGCCTCTTGCACCAAACATGTAGCCAAGTTGTGAAGGCAAAGGAAAAGCTGTTGAAGGAAATTAAAAATGCTACTCCAGTGAACGCATGAATGATGAGAAAGTGAAACAGCCTTATTGCTGATACGGAGAAAGTTTTAGTAATCTGGATAGAAGATCAATCCATCTATAACATTCCCTTAGACCAAAGCTGAATCCAGAGCTCTTCAATTCCATGAAGGCTGAGAGAGGTGAGGAAGCTGCAGAAGAAGAGTTGGAAGCTAGCAGGGTAGTTCATGAGGTTTAAGGACAGAAGCCATCTCCATAACATAAAAGTGCAAGGTGAAGCAAGTGCTGATGTAGAAGCTGCAGCAAGTTCTCCAGAAGATCAAGAGGATAATTAATGAAGGTGGCTACATTAAACAACAGATGCCATTGGAAGATACCTTTAGGATTTTCATAGCTAGAGAGGAAGTCAGTGCCTGGCTTCAAAACAGGCGCTTTGTTGTTGTTGTTTTTTCCCTCCCACTCAATGTAAGGGAAACTTTATTGAAGCTACAGGCCACGGGGCTCGGGCAGGAGGCTGCCCTGTGGGCAAAGGAAAAGCTGATGGAAGGGCCTTAGTTGACCATCCTCTTGGGGCACAGGTTGTTGGTGTGACTGCGCTTCTTGCAGCAATTGACAGCGCGGGGCTGCAGGCAAGCATAACACTTGGAGCAGGTAATCATGTCCCAGTTGTGACAGTGTGAGCTAGAGGAGGGAAGGTTCGATGATGTGATGATGCAGCCCCACAGACAAAGCACCCACTACAGGGTGAACTCTTTCTGGATATTGTAGTCTCAGAGAGTGCAGCCATCCTCTAACTGTTTGCCTGCAAAAATCAGATACTGCTAGTTGGGGGATGCACTCCTTGTCTTGGACTTTGGCTTTGACTTTTTTTTTTTTTTTAGAGCAGGGAAAGAGAGGGAGAGAGAATCTTTTTTTTTTTTAAGATTTTATCTGTTAGCAAGTGAGAGCAGGAATGAGGGGAGGGGCAGAGGAAGAGGGAGAAGCAGACTCCCTGCTGAGCAGGGAGCCCAACGTGGGGTGTCATCCTGGGACTCCAGGATCATGACCTGAGCTAAAGGCAGACACTTAGCTGACTGATCCACCCAGGCATCCCAGAGAGAGAGATTCTTTTTTTTTTTTTTTAAAGATTTTATTTATTTATTTGAGAGAGAGAGAATGAGAGACAGAGAGCACGAGAGGGAAGAGGGTTAGAGGGAGAAGCAGACCCCCCGCTGAGCAGGGAGCCCGATGCGGGACTTGATCCCGGGACTCCAGGATCATGACCTGAGCCGAAGGCAGTCGCTTAACCAACTGAGCCACCCAGGCGCCCTGGAGAGAGAGATTCTTAAGCAGGCTCCACGCTCAGCGCAGAGCCCTGACCTGGGCCTCAATCTCACGACCCTGAGATCATGACTTGAGTTGAAAGCAAGAATCAGACACTTAACCGACGGAGCCATCAAGGCACCCCTTGGCTTTGACGTTCTAAATGGTGTCATTGGGCACAATCTATAGGGTCAGAGTGAGGGTCAGAGTCTTCGCAAAAATCTGCATCTGTGCATCTGCTGCTTGGCCAACTCGTTGAAGAGAAAGAGCAAAGCTGGCTCTTTGTTTGGGGCTAATGCGGCTGGTGACTTTAAGTTGAAGCCAGTGTTCCTTGACCATTCTGAAAATCCTAAGACCCTTAAGAATTGTGCTAAATCTACTCTGCCTGTGCTCTATAAATGGAACAACAAAGCCTGGATGATAGCACATCTGGTTACAACATGATTTACTGAAAATTTTAAGCCCACTGTTGAGACCTAATGCTCAGAAAAAAGATTCCTTTCAAAATATTACCACTCATTGACAACGTACTTGGTCACCCAAGAGCTCTGATAGAGATGGACGAGATTAATGTTTTCATGCCTGCTAACGCAACATCTGTTCTTCAATCCATGAACCAAGGAGTAATTTCAATTTTCTAGTCTTATTATTTAAGAAATCTATTTCACAAAGCTATAGCTGCCATAGATAGTGATTACTCGGATGGATCTGGGCAAAGGAAATTGAAAACCTTTGGAAAGGATTCACCATTCTAGATGCCTTTAAGAACATTTGTGATTCATGGTAAGAGGCCAAAACATCAACACTCACAGGAATTTTGAAGAAAGGGTTTTCAACCCTCATTGATGCCCTTGAGGGCTTCAAGACTTCAGTGGAGGATGTACTTGCTGATATAGCGGAAATCGTAAGAGAACTAGAAATAGAAGAGCTTGAAGATGTGACTGAATTGGTACAATCTCATGATAAAACCTGAATGAATGAGGAGTTGCTTTTTATGGATGAGCAAAGAAAGTGGTTTCTTAACCTACTCCTGGTGAAGATGCTGAAATACAACAGAGCATTTAGAATATTATGTAGGCTTAGTTGATAAAGCAGCAGCAGAGTTTGAGAGGATTGACTCCCATTTTGAAGGAAGTTCTCCTGTGGATAAAATGCTGTCCAAACAGCATCACATGCTACAGAGAAATCGCTCATGAAGGGGAGAGACAATCAGTGTGGTAAACTTCATTGTTGTCTTGTTTTAAGAAACTGCCACAACTACCCTAACCTTCAGCAACCACCACCCTGATAAGTCAGCAGCCATCAACACCAAGGCAAGACCCTCCACCAGCAAAAAGATTATGACTCACTGAGAACTCAGATGATGGTTAGCATTTTTTCACAAAAAAGTATTTTTAAATTATATACGTTTTTTTAAGACATAATGCTACTACACACTTAATAGACTATAACTTGTATATGCAATGGGAAACAAAAAATTATTTGACTGGCTTTATTGTACTATTCACTTTATTGTGGTGGTCTGGAAGTGAACCCACAGTATTTCCTAGGTATTGCCATATAGTCTTTCTTCTGTAACAGTATCTGAGTGCAATTTAAAGTATTTTCAAAAGAATTCACACCAAATTATTAACATGATTGTCCCTGGAGAGTGAGATTATTTTAAGGGGGGGGGGTATAAGTGAAGAGATCTTTTCACTTTATACACATTGATGTTTTTTAAAAATAAAATATGTATCATATTGAAATTTTAAAGTATCAAAATATTCCTAGTAGAATTTTATATCTAAAAATACGTTCATGTTAAGAGTTTTATAAATTTTGCAACAGCCTGGGTAAATAATGCATCTTCAGGGGCGCCTGGGTGGCTCAGTCGTTAAGCGTCTGCCTTCGGCTCAGGTCATGATCCAGGGTCCTGGGATCGAGCCCCGCATCAGGCTCCCTGCTCCGCGGGAAGCCTGCTTGTCCCTCTCCCACTGCCCCTGCTTGTGTTCCCTCTCTCGCTGTGTCTCTCTTTGTCAAATAAATAAAAGAAATCTTTTAAAAAAAATAAAAAATAATGCATCTTCACTGTTGGCTGGTAGAGCTGTAAAATGATAGAATTGTGGTCAGGATAGAGTGGGGACAAAGAGAAAGCTGAACATTAAATAAAAAGAGGTTTTATTTATATAAAAATTGGTCTTTCATAAGCTAATTCAGTATATTTGATTGGTTAATTTCAGTGGTACCCTATTAAATGACTTTCTGGCGTCTCAGCTTTTAATATTACTTCCAAAACTCAGGTAGGGCAGAAAATGATGACACAGACATTTCAAGAACAAAACTTACTCCTGGATGCAGCCCATGCCAATATCGCTACTGAGCTACAGACTGTTCAGAATGAGAAAATCCAACTCCAAGCACATCTGTAAGTAAACTATAGGCAACTTCTTCTGTATCTTTTGTTCTTGCATTTGATTTCTTATCTTTAATGGAAACGTTTCATTCTGCTTTTCTTGGGCCAGACACAAAGATAAAATAAAGGCTTTGCCCCCAAGGAACTAGTCTTGTTAGAACATTTTGGTAACTGCTCTTGGCCAGTATGTTCTTGGAGAACATGAGTCTATTAAAGAACTCTTGTTTAACAGTCATATCTCCTCGTTGTCTTCTTCCAGGGACCATGTAATCCTTGAGCATAATCAGTGTATCCAGAAAGCACAGGATGCTGAGAAGAGGACAGCCTTGCAGAAAGAGCTGCTAGAAACAACTATTGCAAGATTGCGAGGTGAATTGGAAGCATCCATCCAAGAGAAGAAGTCTCTGCTAGAGGAGAAAGAAAGATTTCAGGGAGAGGTAGGTAGAAGCAGATTTATGTTACCTCCTGGTTGTGGCGGTGATCTTGTGTTAAAACTATTTTAAGTGCAAAAGATAAGAAATAGAGCCCAGATGCAGTTTGTCTGAGTTGCCCATTAAAGAAATCTTTAGGTGGCTAATCTCTGTCTTTTAGCATGTGAAGTAGACTGTGCCAAACAGAGTACCCTTTTATAGCATTAACTAATAGCTCACACATCCTCATGATAGCTAAGGGGTCAGATTTAAAAAGCTGATTTCCCCTGAAGGCGTGGGACAATGGAGGTTAAGGGGGGGACAGCTCTGTCTTCCTCTTTAGGACGGAAGCAGCGGAGTCTGACATGCAGACGTGTCTTTCTAATTTCAGGGCTATTTGTGAAGTCTGCTCTGCCTCAGAGACTCCCTGAGTGGCCCCCTTTCTGAGAGGATGTGCTATCTCTGCAGTGTAGGTATTAACTAACGTGCAGGGTGTGTCTGCTACTGTAGAGCAGTTGCTTCAAAATTCACCCATTTCTTTTCCCCTCCTTGGGCAGGTGAATAAAACAGAGAAAGAAACAGCGCAAGAAAAATGCAATTTGGAAAAGGAATTAGCTAAAAACAAGGTATTCCACATTTTCTTTGTTGATATTTCACTGTATTCCCTTCTGTATTTCTGCCTCCGGTATCAGCTTATCTTACTGAGGAGATGGGTTATTTTGTCTAATACCAGGCTGTGGGAGGATAAAGGAGCCACTGAGGTGGGTGCAGCACCGAGCACTCCGGTCACGGCAGCACAGGGCTGCTTCTGGGCAGCGTTTGCTTGTTGAGCATCTGGTGTGGGCCAGAGTCATGACTGGCTCTGGCCCTAGTGTTCACTGAGTATTTTAGCCAGGAAATCCATTGAGAGTGAGCTGATGGCCCTGTGGGAGGCAAAGAGATCATTGCTGACAGTGCTGTTTTGCTTTATTTTGTTTTAAAGACTTCCTAAGTACCTGTTAGCACCTGTCACTTCATCTGCAATATACTCTTTTCTGGGTTCTAAAAAGATAGAATGGCCAGAGACACAAATACAGTTCTTATTAAAATAAAACAAAAGCCAGTCTTTAAAACATTGCTGTTTGTGTTTCAAATTTTGAAGAGCGTAAAGATTATGTATCACTGTCATCTGGAATTATCTGGAGTGTCAAGGAGAATTAGCCTACCCTAGACAGTAAATTCTGCAACACATGTCAATATAACAGTCAATCCTTGATTTCTTCTTGGCTTCTGGCCTAATTAAATAGTATTCATATTACCATCACCATATTACCATGTATGTGTGAACTTGTAATTTAAGAATTGGAGAGAGAAGAAAAGGTAAATTCTGAGCCCAAGCTCTAATACAGCTCACCACTCTGGCAGGTAATCTGTGGTTTATTGACTAAACTCTAGTGATTTGAAAAATAGTCCAACCTAAGAATCTTTTTAAAAAGTTCACTTCCCATGGTAAGGACTTACTGGTGTCAGTTTGTCCTCCAATATGCTTTTTAAAATTTGGAAAATTGGTGGATACTATTAAATTCATGAATGCTTTTTGCTTAAAATGTAGGGAATGTTACATGGCTAAGGCAAATGCTGTATGTCTGTGATTAAAACAGTTTGCTTTTCTGATTTTATTTGTCTGAACGTAGGCTAAGTGTAAGTTCATGGGGCTGAAAGATACTGGCTCATTAGAGAGGTTCTATTAGGCCAAATGATAATGCTTATACAGAGTCCCATTTTTTTCTTCTTAGGTCTAATTTGATACTTTTCAAATGTGTATTCATTGTAAAGCTATGTTTTTCTGAAGTCAGGCTTATTAAGTTATAATATACATAGTGAAATACACCCTTTTTTTAGTGTACAGTTCTGTGAGTTTTGACCAACACAATTATGTAACCACCACCACAATCAAAATACAGAACACTTCTATCCCCTCAGGAAGGTCCCTTGTGCCTCTTTATCATTAACCTCTTCCTCCACCTCCATCCCTTGGCAACCACTGACCTGTTCTTCTGTTCCTATAGTTACGTCTTTCCCAGAATATCCCAGAAATGGAATCATACAACATGTAACATTTTAAATCTGGCTTCTTTTATTTAGCATAAGGCATTTGAAGTTCATCCAAGTTCTTGTTGTATCAGTTGTTTGTGTTCCATTATATAGATATATCACAATTTCTTTATCTATTTGCCACCTGAAGGACATTTGAGTTGGTAAATTTTGGCAATTATGAATAAAGCCTATATAAATGTTCACATATGAACATGTATTTTTATTTCTTTTGGCTAATTATCAGGAGTTGGAATTCTAGATCCTATGGGAAATAAATATTTAACATAGTAAACTATTCAGCAGCTGTTTTCCAAAGAATCTGTACTATCTTGCCTTCCATCAATAGTATAAAAGAGCTCCACTTTCTCTGCATTCTCACCAGCGCTTAGTATTGTTGGTCCTTTTGGTCTTAGCCATTCTAACTGGTGTAGACTGGCATATCACTGTGGCTATAATTTGCATTTCTCTAGTGATTAATAATATTGAGCATCTTTTCATCTGTTTATTGGTTATCCACAAGTTTAAGTGTCTCTTCAAATATTTTAACCATTTTAATTCAGTTGTTTGTTTTCTTATTATTGATTTTTCAGAGATTTTAAAATAGTCTCATGTTGATTCTTACATAAAAAATTCATACTTTTTGTATATGTGCAAATCTTCTAAGTGCTTAACATATTTTTTCTTCCATTTTACGCCTTGTTTTTAATGCTCTTCCAAAGAGCAGAAGTTTCACATTTTGATGAAATCCAACTTGTCAGTTTTTAAATTTTTGGATCATATCCTTTGTGTCTTATCTGAGAAATTTTTGCCTAACCTAAAATCACAAAGATTTTCCTTTTAGTTCTCTAGAACTTTTATAGTTTTAGGTCTTACATAGGTCAACGATCCATTTTTAGTTAATTTTCGTATATCATGCAAGGTTCATTTTATTTTTAGATGGACAGTCTGATCTAGTACCTTTTATTATTGAGATATAATTAATATACTGTCAATTCACCTTCTTAAAATATACAGTTCAATGGTTTCTTAGTTTATTCACAAGTCTGTGCAAACGTCACCACTATCTAATTCTAGAACCTTTTTATCACCAAGAAGAAACCCAGTACCCATTAACAATCACTCCCCATTCTGTTCTGCCCCCAGCCCCCGGCAACCACTGTTCTACTTTCTTTCTCCATGGGTGTGTCTATTCCCACATTTCATATAAATAGAATAAAACAGTATGTGGCCTTTTGTCTCTGGCCTCTTTGCTAGGTTAATGTTTTCAAGGTTTATCCATACTGTAATATATGCAGTATCTTACTCCTTTTTATGGTTGAATGATATTGTATTATGTGACTGTACCACACTTCATTTAGCCATTCATCAATTGGTAGACATTCAGGTTGTTCCCACTATTTGGCTGTTTAATAATGCTATGAACATGTGTATACATTTTTTTTGTATGTGAGCATATGTTTTCGATTCTGTAGGAGTGAAACTGGGTCATAGGATAACTCTTTATCATTTTGAGAAACTACCAAAGTGTTTTTACAAAGTAGCTGCACCATTTTACAGTCCCACCAGCAGTGTATGAGGATTCAGATATCTGCACATCTTCACCTACATCTGTTACTGTCTGCTTTTTAAAAAATTAATATACTCATCCAAGTGGGTATGAAGTATCTCATTTTGTTTTTTCAATTAAGGTGAAATTCACATAATAGAAAATCAAACACTTTAAAGTGAACAATTCAGTAGCATTTTATATATTTACAGTGTTGTATAACCACCAACTCTTCTAGTTCCAAAACCTTTTTATCACCCCAAAGGGAAACCCTGTTCCCATTAAGCAATCACTCCCTATTCCCTCCTTCCCCTGACCTCTGATGCCACTTATCTGCATTCCATCTGTGTAGATTTACCTATTCTGGATATTTCATATAATCATACAATATGTGATCTTTTGTGTCTGGCTCCTTAGCATGACATTTTTGAGGTTCATCCATGTTGTTCTTCATAGCAGAACTTCATTCCCTTTTACTCCTTTTATGGATGAGTAAGAATTCACTGTGTATGTGTCTTTGTATGTGGTATGTATATATATACACACACACCACAGTTTGTCTTGTTCATCTTTTCATCTATTGATAGACATTTGCATTGTTTGCACCTTTCAGCTGTTGTGATTAGTGTTGCTGTAAATGTGTGTGTTATACATGTATTTACTTGAGATACATATCTAGGAGTGGAATTGCCGGGTCATATGGTAATTTTGTTTAACTTTATGAGGAATCACCAGACTCTTGTCCACAGTACCAAACCTTTTTTTTTTTTTTTTAAGATTTTATTTATTTGACAGAGAGACAGACAGAAGAGCACAAGCAGAGGGAGTGGCAGAGGGAGAGGGAGAAGCAGGCTCTGCAGTGAGCAGGGAACCCGATGCGGGACTCGATCCCAGGACCCTGAGATCATGACCTGAGCCGAAGGCAGACGCTTAACCATCTGAGCCACCCAGGCGCCCAGTACCAAACCTTTTTTTTTTTTTAAGATTTTATTTATTTGACAGAGAGAGACACAGCGAGAGAGGGAACACAAGCAGCGGGAGTGGGAGAGGGAGAAGCAGGCTTCCCACGGAGCAGGGAGCCCGATGCGGGGCTCTATCTCAGGACCCTGGGATCATGACCTGAGCTGAAGGCAGATGCTTAACGACTGAGCCACCCAGGCGCCCCACAGTGCCAGACCATTTTACCTTCCCACCAGCAGTGTACATAGGTTCCAGTTTCTCTACATCCTCACCAACACTGTTGTTTTTTTTGTTTTTTAATAATAGCCATCCTAGTAGATGTGAAAAGTGGTACCTTGTGATTTCGATTTGCATCTCTCTAATGACTAATGATGTTGAGCATCTTTTCATGTGCTTATTGGCCATTTGTATATATTCTTTGGAGAAATGTCTATTCAGATCAGTAGCCCATTGTAAACTCGGTTGTCTTTTAATTGTTGAGTTGTAAGAGTTCTTTATATATTCTAGATAGTAGACCCTTATCAGATACGTGATTTGCAGATATTTTTCTCCCATTCTATGGGTTCTGTTTTTAAATTTTTAGATTTTTATTAAGTTCAGTTTAACTTTTTTTTTTTTTTTGGTTGCTTATGCCTTAGATGTCACATCTAAGAAACTGTTGCCTAATCCAGGGCCACAAAAATTAACACTTTTTTATTCTAAGAATTTTATAGGGTTTTTTTGAAGGTTTATTTTTTTAAATTTTATTATGTTATGTTAATCACCATACATTACATCATTAGTTTTTGATGTAGTGTTCCATGGTTCATTGTTTGCATATAACACCGAGTGCTCCATTCAATATGTACCCTCTTTAATACCAATCACCAGGCTAACCCATCCCCCCGCAACCCCCTCCCCTCTAGAACCCTCAGTTTGTTTCTCAGAGTCCATAGTCTCTCATGGTTCGTCTCCCCCTCCGATTTCCCCCCATTCATTTCTCCCTTCCTGCTATATTCTTTTTTTTTTTTTTAACATATAATGTATTATTTGTTTCAGAGGTAC